AGGTCTATCAACATCCAAAAAAGATTATACTTGTGACAGTGGAAAAATATGAGAAAAGGCTGGCCTCCTCCATTGTTTGGGCCTGGGGAGGCAGCCCGAACATTTTTCTCATCCCATTTAAAGCCTTGCCTGATTTCTTTTCTGTTGTCATTGTGTCAAAAGTTCCTGTCTCCTGTATCAAGTGCTATTATTGGTCATGCAGGAGGAATACATACATATTCATTCACTCACCTGGGGTTTGAACCTGGGTAGTTGGTGTCAGACTAAGGTGAACTCTTCCTCACTAAAGCTATTACCACCTCTCTTCAGCAACTCAGTTATCCCAGGTTTGTAAATGGCAGAAATCAACTCAAGGACTATTGTTAGCATGTGAATCCTTAAATTTAACTCAGCTACCAAACAAAAGCAGCTTTCACTATTACTTTATCACAGGGATCAGGTTTCTGATCAGCATGAATAACCAAAAGGATTACTACAGACCTAAAATGATCAATATTTTTATTGAAATGCATCCCCCCACACTACCTAGCAGATTTGGTGATTTTATTCCTCTTTGCTCCATGCCCACAACCTTATTAATATAGAATTTACTACAAAACAAAAATGGTCAGTAATTATCTGTTTTTTTAAACTACCAGGCAAAGGCTGTGTTCAAGGTGTGTTTCCAGCATCAGACCTAATATACTGGGGGGTCTCAAAACTGTGATTAAAAAAAATGTGGGGAAATTATGTTGATGTTCAGTCTTCCATCTGCACTGGGTTTATGCTCAGGGTTTATGAAATCAAGCAAGGTTCACTTTGCTCTCAAAGAGGGGAGGGTGGGCAAGCATGGGCAACTGTTGCAGGAGGAAGAGTTAGTGGATCTGGTGGAAGAAAATCCACAACTCCTTTCTGCTGCTTCCCCTTGAGGTTTTGGATCTAGTGACCCTAGACCATAGTTGAGGGATAAAGTCCATGGTCTTTTTTTTTTTTTTAGGTATTGGGGATTGAACTCAGGGCCTTGCACATGCTAGGCAAGCACTAAGCTATATACCCAGCCTTTTACTTTTTTAAAATTTTTTATATTTTTGGTACTGGTGATTGAACACTCAGCCACTGAGCCACATCCCCAGCCCTCTTTTGTATTTTATTTAGAGACAGGGTCTCACTGACTTGCTTAGTGCCTTGCTTTTGCTGAGGCTGGATTTGAACTCTCAATCATCCCTCAGCCTCCCAAGCCACTGGGATTACAGGCGTGCATCATTTAAAAAGCCTGTCCTTTTAAAAAAAATTTTTAATAAAAGTGAATGAAAGGAGGCTGCCTAGCACAGGAATATGTTCCAAGGCACACTTTTCATATGTGGGATCTGCTGGATTGATGAATGCTCATCGATATGAGAAGTTAAAATGTGTAGATCATTTCTAGGGCAGGTTTATTTTTTTTTTAAGAATATGGTAAAACTTCACACTGTCTTCTCCCATTTGCCAGCACAAAGTTGACAATTTTGAAAATCCCCAGAAATTGTGAAGCCATTGATAGGTCCTGGAAGTGTGGATAATGACATGGAAGTTACTAGCAATCACTGAGAACACCTGCATTGGACTGAGCACATAGAGGTTATTTGTTGTAGCATCCAGTGTCATGCCAATACTTTTTTGTGGTATTAGAGATGGAACTTGGGGCCTTGCACATGCTAGGCAAGTGTTTACTACTGAACTACACACCCCAGCCCTTATGCCTACACATTGATCACCATTCCCCCTCCTCTGTGGGCACCCTAATATCAGTAAATCGTAAGCATCAGGTCATTCTGTAAATTGAGTCTCTAATCTCTAATTATGATCCAAGCTTTCATAAGCATGTCTAGGTTTCCAATTTGGAAATTATCTGCATGATCCCATCCACTGTCAGTTTACCATGTTGAAAACTGGAAGGTGTTAAAGCACACCTTGGAAGATTGTCTAGATCTTCCACCTCAGTTTGGCAGATCTTCATGCTTGTGAACCTTACCTGGAGCTCAGAGGTATGATTTTGGGTGGTCAGTGCAGTTATGGGGAGCACATGATTCTCTTGCCCCCCTTACTTGTCTTGCCCACGTCCAGCACAGGCAACTGAATTGGGGTCCCTCTTGGTGCAGTGAGCTGGCTGTGAAATAAAAGCTAAGAAAGAGAAAATGGCAAAGAAACCACAGGACACAGGAAGTAACTTTAGAAAGCAGGGGTAGGACTGCTCTCCGATATTAGTGATCCAGCTTCCACACTGGACAGAGAGAGAGCTGGAGCCCGCACTTGCTTTACTTATGTGGGGGAACATCAAAGGTATTTGCCAAATAAGGTAGGAGATGGGCTGTCCAGATCCAATGCCCAATTATGGAGGAGCTAGGAGAGCTATCCTACTACTAGAACAGGGACAGAGATCTCACGCCTTGGGCAGTCTACACATGGGAAAACTGGGATCATTCTCAAGGAAGGACATAAGTCCCCCATGGCTTGGTACCGAGTAAAGGACCACTCAAGTAGCTTCATGGATGGCTTTTCACACTTCTGGCTTCATCATCTGGAGATGTACTCTGACACCCAGTTTTTAAAAAATATTTATTTTTTAGTTGTAGTTGGACACAATATCTTTATTTTATTTATTTTTATGTGGTGCTGAGGATTGAACCCAGGCTTCCCATGTGCTAGGCGAGTGCTCCACCACTGAGCCACAACCCCAGCCCCTGATACCCAATTTTAAAGTGAGTCTCAGATCCTCAGTGCTGATTCTTATTCTGCTGGACATACTAGCTGAACTTGCTTGTGGTGCTGGTTGAGAAGCTGGGGTTACCTTCTCCAATGCTTTGACAATTCCTTGACAGGAAAGGGTTCTAAGTCTTGGAGTCCTTTTCTAAAGTAACTTTGTTTTTTGTAGATGGATAACTTTATTGGTCTCTCTGTGTGGGTGCAAGTATAGATATGTATGTCTGTCTGTCCCTTGCAAGTATTTGATGTCAATCTCTTGAGTGTTTTCTGTGTGCATGTGTGTGGCTCCATAGTGTGTGTGGAAATTTGTATACACTGTTTTGCACGTGAACTCTGTTGTCTACTCGTAGTCTATAGGCTGTCCTGTGTTTGAGGAAGCGTCCAGGTATTTGGGGTGTCCTCTATCTTACTGTGACAGGCATCAGAGTAACAATCAGGCTTTATGTGAGATGTGAACAGCTTCTCAAGGATCCCCTCAGATTGCAGGCAGTTCAACTTTATTCTTTTTAACTGTAGTTGTCCCTGCTGCTGCTTTCCCTTTCTCCAGAAGTTATAATTAAGTAATTGCAATAAATAAGCAGCCTAATTAATAGTCATCCTATGAAGGATCCCTCCCAGAAACTAATGAAGGGTTATCACTGCACCTGCAGACACGTGCATAGTGCAATTCAGGCTCCCCAGAACACACTGATTGCACATGCATGTCACATGCCTACGGCCAGGATCTGTAATGCTATGAGGATAGGCTTCATGTCACTTCTAGTCTGTGGATTCTTTTCTTTAAAATATTAAGTGAACAGGTAAAGCTTCCACCCACAGGGACTGTGACAAGACTATTTGTTGGCCCTCATTGTCCTTTCTGTCTCCCTGTTTTGTTTTTTTTGGGGGGGGGGGACCTTGGATTTAACTCTGGCACTTGACCACTGAGCCACATCCCCAGCCCTATTTTGTATTTTTATTTAGAGACAGGGTCTCATTGAGTTGATCAGTGTTTCCCTGTGGCTTTGAACTCCTGCCTTAGCCTCTCAAGGTGCTGGGATTACAGCTATGTACCACAGCACCCTCTCCCTGCTTTTTTAAAAATATCCTTTTAGTTGAACATAATACCTCTGTTTTATTTATTTGTTTTTATGTGATGCTGAAGATTGAGCTTGGGGCCTCTACTGCTAGGCGAGCACTCTACCACTGAGCCACAACCCCAGCCCTCCCTGCTTCTTTATACAGGAACTTTTGATAGCTGGCTAGAAACATGGATGCCCTGAACAAGGACTACACTTCCCAGACTCCTTTGCAGTGTCACATGTAGTAATGTAGAAAAATTCTGATCAATGAACTAGGGATAGTTTGTAGTTGTACATCTTCCTTAAAGGCAAAGATCTCCCCTCCCCTTCTATTCTTCCTCCTGGTTGGAGCAGATGAGGTAGGAATCATGAGTAGATGGGAGAGCAAGACACAAGGAGATGGAAACCAGCCCTGAAGTGGTGTAGGGAGATTAATATATAAACTCTTGATTTCATGAGACTTTTTTTTTTTCTGTGGGGGAGGGACAGGGGACTGAACCCAGGGGGCTCTACTGCTGAGCTACATCCCCACAACTTTTTTTTTTTTGTACAGGGGATTGAACTCAGGGGCACTTGACCACGAAGCCACAGACTCAGCCCTATTTTGTACTTTAACGTCAGGATCTCAGCGAGTTGCTTAGTGCCTCGATTTTGCTGAGGCTGGCTTTGAACTTGCTATCCTCCTGCCTCAGCCTCCTGAGCCTCTGGGATTATAGGTGTGGGCTGCACCCACCTCCCAGAACTTTTCATTTTTTATTTTGAGATAGGTTTTCACTAAGTTGCTTAGGGCCTTGCTAAATTCTGAGACTGGCTTTGAACTGCAATCTTCCTGCCATGTATGGCTGCATGAGACTTTATATGAAAAATAATTAAACTCTCATCCTGTTTAAGCTACTATTATTTGAAGACTCTGTTAAAATTGTAGAACATTATATTGAATAGCAAAGGACAAAGAGCAATCATTTCACAGGCCTTTAGCTATTACTTGAAGGATAAAGACTTGCTGGGTGCCAATGTGTGCCCGAAATCTGAGTGACCAGGGAGGCTGAGGCAGGAGGATCACAAGTTACAAGGCTAGCCTCAGCAATTTAGCAAGGCCCTAAGCAACTTAGTGAGAACCTGTGTCTCAGATAAAAAAATAAGGTCTGTGGATGTAGCTCAGTGGTAGAGCACTCCAGTAAAGAAATAAATAAATAAAGTCTCACCCTACTCAAACTCTGCTTTGCCTAGGTCCTTATTTAATCCTTATTTACCCAGCTTCTTCATGCCACTTCCACATACTTCCCAGGTTTCTGATGCATTTAATGTACAAATCTCTAAAATCAAAGGGAGGGAAAAAGGTGAATAAAATTAAAACGAGGTCAGGAGCAGAGGGCCAGGGGTACACATGTAGAGAAGGGCAATGAGTGGCTGAGACAGGAGCTGGAACAGGGAGATGCCCTTCCCTGGGTGTCACATCTCGTCCAACCCATAGTCTTCCTCTGGGAAATCCCCCACTGTCACAACCGATGGCTTGACGAAGGCTCCATACTTGGGCTGGCATTCGAAGTAGCGTTTCCCATTCACACTGCAGAACATGATGGGGAAGCAGTGGTCAAAGGATCCCATGTGGCTCCCACTCAAAATGCAGTATGACATTATAACAGGCTCACTCAGCAGCATGCATGGAATTACACATACATGTTCACATATGCATTCCCAGACACACATACACAGATGTCTCAATGGAACACTTGTTACCTGCCATCGTTTTTCCCTAATGGCTCATCATAGCGGACACCAATCCAGTAGCCAGGCTTGAAATCTGTGAGTCCTGCCCAGAAGAGAAATTCTGATGAAACCTCTGGACACATCTCACCTGGAATCTGTGCTTGCTCATCAAGGAAAGCCTGTCCTGATGAAAATCACTCCTTGCTACTTTGATTGCTTCCACCCAGGATCACCTTTATCTCCTGTCAGACCAAGATGGTAGCAGCTTTGCTGATCTCCTAGCTCCCACCCTGCCCCCTATTCACTTATCCAAGAGGTTTTGGGTTTTTTTTTTTTTTGGTACCAGGATTGAACCCAGGGGTGCTTAACCACTGAGCCACATCCCCGGCTCCTTTTTTTAAAATTTCATTTAGAGACAGGGTTTTACTAAGTTCTTAGGGCCTCACTAAGTTGCTGAGGCTGGCTTTGAACTGGTGATCCTCTTGCTTCAGCCTCCCAAGCTGCTGGAATTACAAGTGTGCACCATGGTACCAGGCACGAAGAGGTCTTTGTAAAACCTAAGGGGGCTGGGTTTGGTGGTACACATCTTTGATCTCAGTGGCTCGAGAGGCTGAGGCAGAACTTCAAGTTCAAGGGGGGCCCCAGCAAGACTTTTTCTCAAAACAAACTAAAAAGGATTGGGGATGTGGCTCAGTAGCAGAGTGCCCTTAGTTCAATCTCCATTCCCCCAGACACACAAAACTTAAGATGGGATGGCACTGCCACAGCTCTGAGAGGCCTCAGAATAAACATTGACATTTGACCTTGGGTTGCTACGCTCCAGAACTCTTAAGAAATCAACTTCTGCTGTTTTAACCACTCTATGTGTGGTAGCTGGTTAGGGAAATCCTAGCAAATTATGCACAATCAACAACAAAAAACAACAGAACCCAATTAAAAATTGGGCAAAGGATCTGAGTAGACATTTCTTCAAAGAAAATACACTAATGGCCAAGAAGACATGAAATGATGCTCAACATTATTAGCTATCAAAAAGATACAAATCAAAAACATAATGTTCTACTTCACTCCCACTAGAATACCTAGAATAAAAATGACAGATAACAATTGTGTGGGTGAAGATGTGAAGAAATTGGAACCTTGCTGGTGGAAATGTAAAATGGTGCAGCTGCTTTGGGAAACAGGCTGGCAATTCCTCCAAAGGTTAAGCAAAGAATTACATGTGAGAAAAAAAAAAAAAAAAAAGAATTACATGTGAGGCGAATTCTCCTCTTAGGTATAGAGAAATGAGAACATGTCCTTGCAAAAGCTTACTATATGAGAATGTTCATACAGCATTATTCATAATAGCCAAAGAGTGGAAATGACCCAAATGTCCATCAACTGATGAATGAACAAATAAAACATGGTATATCTATATAATGCAAAATACTGATACATGCACAATACGGAAGAACCTTGAAAACAATATGTGAATATAGCCAAGGACTGCATATTTAGGATTCCTTTCATAGGAAACAACCAGAATAGACAAATCTACAGAGACAGAATGTAGATAGGGCTGGGGAAGTAAGACTTCATAAATGGGGAAAGACTGATAATAGATTTAGGATATCCTGTGAGGGTAACAGAAATATTCTAAAATTGACAACTAGTGATGTGGCACAATTCTCTGAACATACTAAAAACTAGTGAACTATATACTTAATGAGCGAGTTGTACGATCCATGAATTTTATCTGCGCCTCTCACTTTTCCACCATCAACGCTGGGTTGTCACTGTCAGCTGGAATTGGAATTTCCTTGAATGCCAAGGCCCTGGCATCGCCAACCTCAGAACAAAGCATAAGGTCTCAGAGACTCAACTGAATGAATGAATGGTATCTTGGGATCCAGGAATCCTGTGAGCCACATACCTACATACATGACAGTGCCCCGGCGACTGGCCTGTCCAGGTGCCCGCACCTCACAGCGGCTGCCCACAGAAATGGTGCTGGCTTGGGCCTTCTCCTCTTCGAGGCGCTGGTTGGTCTCGGCTTCTTGCTGTGCTCGCTCCTCTTCACTGTATCGGCCTACCTTGCTGCGCTTCAGGAAGGAGCGAACTGTGTCTGTGGGCAGGGTGGGGGACAGGGTCAGACCTGATCTCTGGGGATGTCTCTGACCTCTTCAGATAACATCCAGCCAAAAGGGGCTAGAATATTCCATATTCACGGAGTATTTCTTCTAGGTGTCAGAGAGCTGTGCCCAAGCTCCATAAGTCTCCCACCATAGCTTTGATTTTTTTCCCGTGACTCCTGGGGTCTCCCTACAATCTAGAAACTAAAGGGATACAGCCAGCCTCCAGTCCTTCACATGACCCCATCTTTTTTTTTTTTTTTTGTACTGAGGAAGTAACCCATGGGCACTGCTTTACCACTGAGCCACATCCCAGCCTTTTTTATTTTTTGAGACAGGTTCTGACTAAGTTGCTGAGATTGTCCTCAAACTTGCAATCCTGACTCAGTCTCCCGGGTCACCGGGATTACAGGTGTGTGCCCTGTAACATGACCCCATCTTCTTACATATCCCTCCAGTCTTAGGTTCACCTTCAGCCAGTCGCTGCAAGCCCCCTTCCTTCCCACCACACATTCTGACCCATCAGCAGAAGCCTGAACTGATTGCCATTCTATCCTTTCCATAGCCCACTAGACTCTGTCCTTATACCCCATCTGCCCCACCCCATGCCTCCATCTGGCCCTGAATGCTCCCCACAAACCATTCTCCTGCATTCCCCAAAGGCCCCCTTCATCTTCCTAGGCCCTCATTTGCTTCCCCTCACATACTTAGGAGTCCCCATTCCTACCCCAAGCCCTGTTCACCTTAATCATGTACCCACAGTCCCATGCCCTCATATGTACCCACAATGAACCTCACCTCTTCCTCCATCTTCCCAAGCCCTCTGCCTGATTTCTGACCTCCCTGTGATGGTCCTCTCTTACCACAAATCCTCATCCATCCCATCCCATGTGTTCTGTACCTTGCCTCTGGTCATAGGCTTCTTGAGAGAGTTCAAATTTTTCCACTTTGGACACGTCCTCATACTCTCCAAGGCGGGCACCACTGTGGTCAATGACCTGTGGTGAGGAGAGGAAGGTCAGCAGGAATCAGTCTAGCCAGGAAGGCCTGGGATGCTAGGGTACAGCTGCATGCTAGAGCACTCTACACACTCAAGCCTTTCCTGATTTGAAAAATACACCTTCACCTTTATCTCAGCTATCTCCCCTCTCCTGAGCCCAGCAGAAGGGACAAAAGTAGATATCTACACTGGCCATCTCTCCTTTCTCCTCGCCATCCAAAACCCTGGAGGCAGGATCTGCCCCGAGATGTACCCTACACACTAGCACCCATATCACTGATAGCCCTGAAGTCAATGAATCTAACTGGCAGAGATCAGACCCAGCTCATAGCCCTCTAGGCAGTACATCTATCCTCTCTGGGACTCTGGGACCCTCGCAGGATGGCCCCCATCTCCAGAACACCTCTTCTTGAACTATTCCAAATGTTCTCCCACTCATTGCTTATGGAGCTCCTCCAAAGGTACCCAGGAGGTCCTGAGCTGGGCACTGAGAACATGGTATAAAAAGAGACAACCCATGCCCGTAGGCAGTGCTTATTCTGCTGTGCTGGGGGACCCAGCGGTAAACAAACAAATAGAGACATGGACTAAACACTACTTGATGGCCAGGGCGAAAGACAAAAATACAACAAAGAAGATAAGGAGCATGGGAAGGTGGCCAGGGCAGGCTTTCAAAAGGAGGGGATGTCTGAGCCAAAGCCTGAAGGATGAGAAGGAACAGCAGGTGTGAAAACCAGAAGCAGATACATCCTTGACCTTCTGGAGGAGGAGAAGTTGTTGTGGGTGCGGTGAAGGGAGCTAGTGGGAGAATGGGAAAGACAACAGATCACTGTAGACTTTGGATTTTACCTGCATTGTGGTGCAGAGATGGCTCTCATATGGATCAGAGGTTCAAAGGCTCTCTCTGCTGCAGACTGTTGGGGTAGGGATGGGAGCAATGAGGCCAGGGGAGGGGTTGGGATGTCCAGGAGGGAGGGGTGAAGGCTGAACCAGGGTGGGTGCAGTGGGAATAGGGGAAGAATTTAGATTAGGGATGATTTTGTAGGTGGAGCCAACATGGTTTGTGACAGATTGGGAGTGGGGAAAAGAGTGGGGAAAGAGAGGGATCAAGGACAATCCTAAAGTGTTTAGTCTGAACCACTAGGCTAACACGGCAAAATAAAAATGGTCCTTACCTCCGAGTCTGGGATCGCTAAGAATTTCTATTCCCTAGGTCATGAATTTTTTTAAAGTTTGAAAAACTGTCATTTTAAGCAGTGCATGTAGCTGATATTTACCAACAGAAAAGGAATTTTAGGAAAAAAACAAAATTCCCAGAGGTTCCAACCCTGGGACACTGTCCTTGAATAGCCTGGGATGTACCACATGGGTGTGAAGCCCTCTTGATTGAGGGTGCTGCTACCCATGACTGACCCCACTTGCATCCCTCAGCTGTAGCTGCCGGACCGCCCCAAGTCTCAGTTCTGTGGGCCCAGCAGAGTCCTGACTCACAACTGCTAGTCCTGCCCATCACTTCATCTGGACTCTTACAGTATCCCCCTCCTGGTGTCCCTGCCCCTCCTGTCCCCCAGTCTGTTCCTCACCTGCAGCCCAAGGAGCTCGTGAAAACCTGAGTCAGAGCAGAGCCCTTAGGCTGACTCCTTCCCAGTTCCCACTTTCTTCACTCACAGTCCAGCACCCACTGTGCTCCCTCCCACCTCAGGGTGTTTGCATGTGCTATGTCCTCCTGCCAGAGCACCTTTTCCCTTTTGGTTAACTCTCCCTTTTCTGTAGGTCTCTGATCAAAAACAGCACTCGCTCCAGGAATCCTCCCAGACCTCACTGATAGGTCAGATACCCCAGTATAGGGTCTCCCAGCTCCATGATCTCCTGCAAGGCCCTCAGTTAAAACTTACCTTTCATATTTGCTCCTGTGATCATTTGGCTAACATCTACCTCACACACTAGACACAGCTAAAACAGGGACCTCCTCAGATATGACTCACAGCTATACTCCTGGCACAATATAAATGTTCAATGAACGATTATTGAATAACAAAGGACAGAAAATAAAGAACCAGTACTCTGGGCACATGAACTTCTAGAGTCGTGCAGACAAAATGAAAAATTCTATCAGTATTTCATGCTTAAGAAAGTATATTTCATCCTGAAGTTGAGTTTTGTCCTCTGCAAAATGAGGATAATTATACCATCTTCTTGGTCTTTTTTTTTTTTTTTGTCTTTTTTTGGGGGGGTGTACTGGTAAAGCACTCCTGCTTTACCAGTTCTTATTTTTTATTTTGGGGGAGGGCCTTACTAAGTTTCCAAGGGTCTTGCTAAGTTGCTGAGGTTGGCCTTGAACTTGCAATCCTCCTGCCTCAGCCTACCAAGTTTCTGGGATATAGGTATGCATCCTGCACTTGACCTCTTGGTCTTATTTTGTAGAGTCAACTCATCATCCAACAGTGATTCACTGAGTATCCTCTGTGCCAGGCATTGTTCCAGATGCTGAGGACACAGCAGTGAAACAGAGTGATGAAAATTTCCACTCTCCTGGACACTCAAATCAGGGAGACACAAAATAAACCAGACCAATGAGAAAAATCCAGAGTATGTCAGAGAGTGATAAGAGCTATGAGCAAAAATTTAAAATATACTCAGATGCAATGACAATATATCTGTAATCCAAGTAAACTTGGAAGGCTGAGAGAGGAGGATTCCAAGTTCAAAGCCAGACAGTAAGCCCCTGTGTTGAAATAAACAAATAAAAAAATCTAAAAAACAGAACAAAAAGGGGGGAAGGGATGAAATTATAATTTTATATTTAGACACGTGAAGGTGTCACTTGAAATGTGACTTTTTTTTTTGGTACTGGGTTTTGAACCCAGGGGCACTTTACCACTGAGCTAACCCCTAGCCCCTTTTTATTTTTTAATTTTGAGACAGGGCCTCACTAAGTTGCTTAGGGACCTCACTAAATTGCTGAGGCTGTCTTCAAATTTGTGATCCTCCTGCTTCAGCAACCAGAGTTGCTGGGATTATAGGCACATGCCACTTTGCCCAGCAAAAGATGACATTTTAAGTAAACATAAGAAGAAAGGGGGAAGCCATGTGGACATATAGAGAATTATTCATGAAGAAAATATAATAAATATAATACAGCACATGCAAAGGCCCTAAAGTGGAGTTCACCTGGGATGTCTAAGGAACAATGTGCCAGGTAAAGACTGAGGTGGGAGAGGGGAATGCTAAGCAGAGAAAGAACAATGTAGGCACAAAGAGGTCCTCTGCATTCTACCTTCTCCCAACCTGTCTAGCCTCATTGCTCAGAGGCTCACCTCCTGCTCTAGAACTCTGTACACTTTTTTCCATCTACTTGGGGATGCCCCTTCTACCTCTTTGCTCATCCTTTAGGTCTCAGCTCAAATGTCCCTTCTTCCAGAAAGCTCTTTCTGAAACCTCCAGGTGGAGTCAAGTAACACTTCTGGGTACCCCCAGTTCCCTAAGCTTTTACTATCCTAGCACAGACTACTCTGGGTTGTCACTATCTATTGGTGTCTATCTGTGCTGGACTGGGGATGCCATGAGGGCAGGGCTTATATGGGTTATTACACAGGGCAAGCACAGCAAATATTTGTTGAGTAAATGAATTAATGAGGTATGAGATCCCAGCTGGGTGGCCTCACATGGATGCGGCAGCCGTCATCTACAGGATAGGAGCCCAGCAATGCATCCTCCTGATCCAACTTGCTGTAGAATTTGTCATCAACTCCATACAGCTCCAGTTCCATGCAGGAAGCAGGGCTGCCCACCACCAGCTCCAGTTTACACTGCGGGGATGAGGAGAAAGGGTATCAGTGACCCCATCATCTGCCCTGAGGCTCCACCTATTATTAGCAACCATCACCCTATCCCTGCTTCTCTAAAAGACCATCCAGGGCCTAGGAGGTTCTGAGGGGCCTTCCCGGCCCCACCTCTTCTACTCTAGCTCCTGCCTTCTAGAGCACCGGGTTTTTCTCTGGACTCGCCCCTACTCTCTGCAATCTCAGATTCTCTCTGGCCCCATCTGCGTAGGCCAGGTCTCCAGGCTCCGCAACCCCAGAAATCTCTAGCCCCGCCCCCTACATTCAGGCCCCTCCCCACCTTCGGGAAACCCCGCATTTTTTGCCCCACCCCTCTAGACCCCGCCCCCCAGTCACACCTTAAACTCAGCGATGGTGAGACTCCGACTGTACCGCTTCTCAGAGCGGAAACTGTTGAGGGAGCTGCTAATGAAAATGGTCACTGTGGGCGCCGATATTCCCGCCACCTCCATTTCGCCGCGCCTTGCAGTGGCCTGCAGCCCGATACAGCCGTCTCACACCGGCTCCGCCGCCGCTGCTTCTGGGATACCAGCCCCGCCCCCACTCCTGGACCAGACCAATCCACGGGCTCTCACTTTTAGGATCCACCAATCGCCGCCGTCCTTTCTCCACTGCCGGGAAAAGGACTCGCCCTCTTCTTAGACCCAGCCAATCCCGAGAGGTCTTTTATAGTTCACAATTCTTCCAATAGCCACACCGGAAACGGCCGGGTCGGGCCGAAGCTGAAGCTGGGAGGAAGAACTGGCAGGAGTTATCCCGGTTCGCGAAGGGTAAGCGTGGCGCGTGTGCACTGGCGTGGATCCAAACAGAGAGTAATGGCTTCTTCTATTTATGTCCAGCACCTAGGGGGTCACTTTGTGCATCATATTCCCGGATTTTGCACTATATCCATCCCATTCTGTAAAATGGGGAGGCGAAGTCCCGAAATTGGAAGCAATTACCATAAATATTTTTAAAAAATTAAATCAAGGGAAGCAATCAGCCAAACCTAAGCGTGGAGAGAGCCGAGCACAGGGCTACCGTCAGCTTATACACGTGCGCGGCTCCGGCCCTCTTTGGCGCCGCTGCTTGGCCTGACCCTTCCCGCGACCTGTAGCGCGGCGGAGCAAGTGCGGAAGGCTTGACAGGCAGTTCGTCGCTATGGAGCCAGATGGGACCTACGAACCAGGCTTCGTGGGCATTCGATTCTGCCAGGAATGGTGAGAAGGGAAGCAGGTGCGGAAGGGGAGCAAGGACTTGCTCAAGGGCTGACCTCTGACTTCCTCCTCCCTACAGTAACAACATGTTGTACCCCAAGGAAGACAAGGAGAACCGCATTCTGCTTTATGCGGTGAGTGCGAGCTTGCAGGCCTCCACGCTGGATCCCCTCGTGGCAGCGTGCTACTCTGTATAACACACACTTCCTATTCGCTCCCGAATGTATTGGCCTCACCTCCTATCACTTTCTTGTCCATCCGGCCCGTAGTCGTCCCCTCCGGGAATCTCCCTGCCCTCCCATTCCTATTGGTGACCCCTAGTCTCTGGTGACCCGCCACACTCGCCCTTTCACAGTGCCGGAATTGTGATTATCAGCAGGAAGCCGATAACAGCTGCATCTACGTCAACAAAATCACGCACGAAGTGGAGTGAGTGTCGTGACCAGGGGTTGGGGGCAAAGGTGTTGTCTTGGGAGTCCGGGACTTAGCTTATTTATTCACCTCCCCATTCCTGCAGCGAACTGACCCAGATCATTGCTGATGTGTCCCAGGACCCCACGTTACCACGGACCGAGGACCATCCATGCCAGAAGTGAGTTCGAAGCTAGCAAAGGGGCGGGAGCATGGCTTGTCCTACTGGGTGGTGGAGAGAGGTGGGAAAGGTGTATTAAACTGGGTGACTGGGCCTTCCCTTCAGGTGCGGCCACAAGGAGGCAGTGTTCTTCCAGTCACATAGTGCCCGAGCTGAAGTGAGTTGGTGGGGGGAAGTTTCCTGGGAACCTGGGGCCTGGTCTTTCCCTGTGGGTGGAGATATAAATATTGGGGTGATACTGCCCTTCCCTGAATCCTGGATTGGATCATTAACATTGGGAAAGTTTCCTTGGGTGTTCTTTTGGGATGAGGCCCTGCTGGGTGGAGGGTCCTATGCTGTGCTCTGGAGGCTCCAGACCCTTCTAACCAATTATCCTTTCTACCAGGATGCCATGCGCCTGTATTATGTATGTACTGCCCCACACTGTGGCCACCGCTGGACAGAGTGACCCCCCTCTCTCTTTCTCCTAATAAATGCCAGGTTTTATTTGTTTGTTTGTTTCCTGTGTTTATTTGCTTCATGGGTAGGATGCTGGTACAGTCTCAGGTGGCCCCATGTAGGGTGCAGTGCTGTGCATAGGCATCGGGCCTTGAACTGGTGAAGCCACAGTCCTCACACACATGCAGCTTCTCCCTGCGCTCACGGTAAGCATAGCTGGCCGGCTGCCCATGCACCTTGGCGAGGTGTGCTTCCAGGGAGCATCGCTGGGTAAATGCTTTACCACAAGCTCCACAACGGAATGGCCGGATTCCTGTGAAGAAGGGGTGCAGAGTTGGGCAGGGAAATGGCCTTCTGGCTAAAGGTTTGCCACCTTCCTCTCCAAAATTGAGCATTTCCTGCCCCTATCCCAAACTCATCAAACTTCTATTTATGACCCATTTGCTTGCTACCCACCACCCAGTACAAACATGGGCCAAATCCCTGTGACCACTGTCCCTCACTAGAAAATTCCTTCCCCTGGGGAAGATGGTGGGAGATGTTCCTTTGCACCCTGCAATTTGGGACCTGAGTTCTGTAGCCAGCATCCGTCTTGTCTCCACTAACATGGCATCACCTTATACCACTTGCTGGGGTCTGAGGTGCATCAAGTCTCAGGCCTCTTGTGTCCCTGCCCTATGTACATAGATACATCCAGGGCATCTGCCTTCATTCCATCACCATCCCACCTGGCCCAGAAGCCCCTCACAGTCCTTGCCACTACTCACCAGTGTGAGTCCTCATGTGGCGCTTGAGATCGAAGGCATCGTGAAAGCCTTTGCCACAGCAGCGGCACACATGGCGGCGAGCTGGACTGTGGCACTTGAGGTGTCGTGTCAGCATGCGCTGCAGTGGGAAGGCCTTGGGGCAGAGAGGGCAGCCAAGTGTCCCAGGGCTCCTGGGAGCAGAGGCCAGGGTTCCCTGCATGGGCTGCCAAGGAGATGCAGAAGTTAGCCCCTCCACCTGGACCCTGCCTATACCTGGCATAAAAATACTTACAAAGTACTCAGAATGTAGGATGAGGAAGGCTGGAGTCTGATCAGTGCAAACACATGCCATCTTCTTCCCAGGGCCTTTCCTAACCAAACCCCATCATGCTTGCCTTGCTTGACACTTCTCCATAGCAAGTATCATCCTCCAACATACTAACACATGTTTTTCTAGTTTTATTCTGTCCTCAGCACCAATCAGAAATAAAAATTGGGGCTGGGGATGTGGCTCAAGCGGTAGCGCGCTTGCCTGGCATGCGTGCGGCCTGGGTTCGATTCCCAGCACCACATACAAAACAAAGATGTTGTATCCGCCGATAACTAAAAAATAAATATTAAAATTAAAAAAAAAAAAGAAATAAAAATTGATTACAGTGTGGATTTTTGTCTTACTACTGTTAAGTGCTTAGCACCTGGCTCAGAATAAATAGTGAACTAACCTTGATCACATTTGCATTCTGGCTAGTGCTTTCCTTCTCCCCTTGCATGCACAGCTGAAATACCCCTTCTGAGAGGGCCCAGTAACCCTTAGCCCCCATCCTGCTCTTATCACCTTGTTCCATGTTCTGGCATAAAAATTAATCACCATCCACTCGTTTGCTGGGATCCTTCTCTGCCCCACTGGACGTAGAGATATCTGGAGCACATCTGCGGCTGTCTACCCGAGGAATATGGGGCTTCATTGAGACCTAACTGAACTCATTCTAGGACAGGAATGGCATTCCCAGCAGGGAAAACAGGTCTTGAGGCTGAGGGGCATGTGTAAACAGGCCCAGGAGTAAGGGGCTATCAGCTTTCGGAAGGGGCAAAACAGCTGGGGCCTGAGGGTCAGCTGCAGACTCACCATTGCCCAGGGGTCCCCAAGGCGGGAAGACTGATGTGCCGGTGGCCCGGCCAGGCTGCTGCAGTCTGAAGAGAGAAAGCTGGTGGTGATGCCTTGCCTCTTCCCCTGCCCCTTGTCCCCAGGCTCAGTGAGGGGCCCACCTGGAATATAGGCATCTCCTCGGAGCTGGTCAGGCAGGTGGCCCCAGTTAGGTGGTTGTGGACGCCGACTCCTGACCAGGAAGACACGAGGCATCACTTCAGGAATGGAGAGGTGGTTGCTCACAAGCAGAGTTTCCTCCTCCACCTGCTGTCAGACCTCAGCCCAGGACCACTATCCCAGGTGGGAAGGGAGGGATGTGGGGGAGGAACCTCTTTTTTATGCAAATTTTGAGACAAGTCCCGGGAGCAGACTTTGCTGGCTTTACTAATCTCGACCCTAGGCCTGTCATTCATCCCCCTTCTTTTAGACCAAGTTCCTGAGGGTACTCTGCAGCCTCTGGGGACAGACAAAACTCCCAGAGGGTCAAGCAAGGGGAAAAGAGCCTAGGCATCTCTAGGGGATGGTGAGAGGAGAGAAACATGGCTCCAGGACTGGCAGGAAGAAGGACTTGAGCATTGTTTGTCAGGCAAATCAGTCACCCCCGGACATCCAACAGCGTGCTTGGTTATTCAAATCACAGCAGCTGTCTGAGGAAGCAGGGGAAGGGGTGGCTGTGATTGTCCTGCTCTGGAGGGTGTAGGGAAGACAGCAGAGTCAATAGGTAAGGACAAAATAAAGGTCTAGGCTGTGCATCCTCAGGCAGGAAGAAGGCTCTACCTCTCTGATCTTCAGAGACCCAAAGCTGATATAGTCAGAAGCTCTATTCAGGTGTATCAGGCATTAAAACACCTTAAAAAAAATATATATATATATATATAAATCATTTCCTGTGACTTCCCTTTCCCGCTGTCTGGAAACTAAAGGGGGTCACCTAATATAGCCAGGGGCTCACTTGTAAGGGTCCAGCGAAGCGTCAGAGAAAGAGACCACTCATGCAATTGGCAGAAGGGGATTTATTGAACCAGCATGCTGGGGCTCCGTGCCCACTCAAGAAAGGAAAGCAGCCCAGAGCCCCGGGCAGGGGTTGAGCAGTGCTTAAGTACACTTTTTGGGGAGAGCGTGGGCTTTGCATACATCAGTCTCTTTTAACAAATCACCATACACTGAGGGAAAATCAAACAATAATTTTTAGACTTGATTAGTACATTCATTGGCGGGAACAGGCTGGGCAGGGGTGATTGGTCACTTCTAAGCGGGGTACACATTCAAACTGATTGGTTTTGGGCCTTGAATGCCTACGTGCCAAGTTACACAGGATCCTAAGTTATTAAACAACCAGGGGACCAGGAGAAATATTTACTGGGCAGTTCAGGTATTGTCCTACAGAAATTTCAGGTTTTAGAGGTAGCAGAGGAATTTAACGATACCTGGTCCTTTACTTTTTTATTTTATTTATTTATTTATTTTTTTAATTGGTTGTTCACAACATACAAAGCTCTTGACATATCATATTTCATACATTAGATTGAAGTGGGTTATGAACTCCCAATTTTACCCCAAATGCAGATTGCAGAATCACTGGTCCTTTACTTTTTTTTTTTTTTTTTTTTTTTTTTGAGAGAGAATTTTAACATTTATTTATTTTTTCTTAGTTCTCGGTGGACACAACATCTTTGTTGGTATGTGGTGCTGAGGATCGAACCCGGGCCGCACACATGCCAGGCGAGCGCGCTACCGCTTGAGCCACATCCCCAGCCCAGGTCCTTTACTTTTTAACTCAGGCCTTGCAGCTTAGAAACTTTACAATGCCCGGTCTTTTACACTTTAACTTTTACACTTTAACTTCAATTTCTTTTACTCTTACACCCTGTACCTTACCAGAAGTGCAGACTCTGTTCTACATTAGTTCTTATCTAACTTCTGAACTGGGATTGAGGATTTTGAACACTCCTCGTGAAATTATTTTCTCTCATTTATTTACCAACAATTTTCTAAGTTCTAACTAGAGACAGAACCTAGCTCAGCACTGAAAATGAACATATAAGTCCAAGGAAGATAAAGCATTGACAGCTCAGGATGCTCAAGGCTGTGAAGGGGACCCAGATGTGTGCTCACACCTGTAATCCCAGCTACTCAGGAGGCTGAGGCAGGGGGATTGTTAAATTCTAAGTCAGTCTGGGCAATTTAACCAGACTGTCTCAAATGAAAAAGGCTGGGGTGGAGCTCAGTATTATCAATATTATTATTATTATTATTTTATATATTTTAGCATTTCTAGCAGGTCCTGGGTTCAACAAATAAATAAAAATAAATGTAAAATAAGTAAATAAACTGAAGAGAGTGAACAGGCAGAACCATCCAAGCTGTGACAGAAAAATCCTGGAGGACTTTGGGGTTCCCAGAAGAGACTCCTAATCAAGTGTAGGGATTCAGGAATGGCTTCCTGGATGTGATCTCTGAAAGTAGATGTTTCTGGTGAAAGGGAGAGGGCGTTCCAGGCAGAGGGAGCCTTCTACCAAGACTTGGCAGTGTGAGAAGGAATATCTGAAGGATATGGAGAATAAGTCCAAGGACATCTCTCCTATCTGCAGCTGTCTTCCCTACTGGCTTGGTCTGGGGTAAAATTGAAGCTTTTGTCATTTAAAATCCCAGGCCTCAGCCGGAAGGAAGGGACACAAAAGGACTGAACAGGCATCTGACCCCTCATCCTATGGGTCAGCTGAACCCCAATACAATAAGCCCCAGGAAATTCCCTATTCACACTCCTGTCCTACCCTAATGGATCAGCTGATCCTAATATTGTGAACCCCAGGAACTACCCTCCTGTCCCACCCTAAATGAAGCCCATAAAACCCAGACCCGTGTTTTAGCCTGCTGTCATTTTCTGTCCCCAAAATGAGCCACGTGGAATGTTTGACCCATTGACTCTGCTGCTGAATAAAGGGCTTCCCGCCTCCTGCCCTCTGTCATTCGTGCTAACAACATGCCCTGAGAGTCAGCCTTCCTGATTCATTTCTGTGGCTCTGTGCATCAAGCTTTACCATTTAATCTCCTGAACCTGGGCTTTCTCACTTTCAGTTTCTTCATTCTGAATATGGGACTAAGGAGTCTCCCTGATGTGATTTGTGTTGAAGATTCCCCATAGATCACAGGTAGATCACATTCAGAGAGTGTTTAGCATGGGGTCTGGCAGAGGCTGATGTGTTAGTGGGGGTGGTTAAGAAGCCTTGAGGGGTTAAGTGGCCAGGAAGGCTGTGGGTCCGTTGATGCTGGTTTTTTGTTTTGGGGGTACTGGGGATTGAACTCAAGGGCATTCGACCACTGAGCCACACCCCCAGCCCTTTTTTGTATTTTATTTAGAGATAAGGTCTCACTGAGTTGCTTACTGCCTCACCATTGCTGAGACTGGTTTTGAACTCGCGATCCTCCTGTCTCAGCCTCCTGAGCCGCTGGGGTTACAGGCGTGCGCCCAGCCAGTTGATGCTGTTTTAAGTGGCACTTCCACATCACAGTTGCTGGATTTTATACAACCATGACTGGTGTGCCTTTTGCAGGTCTGACAGCTCAGTACATAGGAGCTGGAGTTTTCCTGGCCTTTCAGTTACTGGGGAGGCCAAGGGTAGATGTGCGACACTGGTGAGTTGCAACAAAGGGTGGCTAGCAGATGGGGAAGAGCTACTTTCTGTTTTCAGTACTGTGGATTGAACCTAGTGGGCTTTACCACTGAGCTACATCCTTTGCTCCCTACTTTTTAAAATTTTGAGGAAGGGTCTCACTAAATTACCTAGGCTAGCCTAGAACTTGCAATCTTTTTGCCTAAGGCTCCTGAGTCAGTGGGATTGCCGTCACCGCAGCTCCTGGCTGCTTTGTTTCTTCTCAGGTGCTCAGTTCTCTATGCCCACCACCAAGTCTCCTGGGGCAACTGGTTCCTGTGTTACTTCTGAAAATGGATTTGGGAAGAAAATGATTCCAGGCATCATTTTTCCCATGCCCTTCTCTAACCTGCTCAGCCCTGCTCCATGCCCTGGGGTACTGATCCTGTTGCCCCCTGTCCCATGCTCTCTGGCTTCCAGTAGGATTGAAGCAAGAATTAAAGACAGGCAGTTAGTGTAGCTGGGTGATCAGGTCAGATGGAGAAAATGAAGGCCAGTTTGGGAGAGACCTGCCCCCTGGGAGATTGGAATGTTAATGCCTCCAGAGCCCTTTGATTACCAAGATTACTTGCCTATATTGCCCCTTTGTTTTTTCAAGGGGGTATGGACATTGAACTCAGCGGTACTCAACCACTGAACCACATCCCTAACCCTATATTGTGTTTTATTTAGAGACAGGGTCTCACTGAATTGCTTAGCGCTTTGCCTTTGCTGAGGCCGGCTTTGAACTTGCAATCCTCTTTCTCAGCCTCCCTCTAGCCACTGGGATTATAAGTGTGTGCCCCTGAGCCCAACCAGAAGAAGATTGTTAATGAAGCAACTCCTGAGCAGATAGGGAGCTGCTAATTAAAGTCCCCTGGGCTGCTGCTCCCTACCTACATGGCACTCCACCTTGGCTCTTCCAGCCCACCTGCATCTCCCAGGATGCAGGATCCGGGAAAGGAACAAGATGGGGGAGAAGAGCACAGGAGAACAAAGAAAACTTAAGATATATAAAAGGGACAGCACTTCGTTCTCGCATGGATTCCAACTCTGGTCCCCTTCTTCCTACCGGGAGAAGTCTGTGTTACTATTCTTAATAAAATTTCTTGCTTTCTACACTTGCTTCAGCTCTTCTCTGATGTTAAACGTCAACATTTGGGGAAGCAGATGGTAAGGGCAGTATCAGGATTTAGACAAAGGGTGTCCCCCAGGAGATGGGGAGGAGAGTAAGATCAGGAGGTTGATTTCCCCAGCTCCCTCCATGCAGTTGCTAGGGCCACAGCTCCCCTCAGGGCAGCCCTCACCCTGAAATTTGCTCTTCTGGGTTCTCCTTCCCTCCTTTTGTGCCTCCTGCCTACAGGTGACACAAACTCCCCTCTGGCACCAGTACTGGATGCTGTATCAGCCTTGGCAGTTTCCCTGGTCCCTGCCCACATCTTTGCAAATGGCTCCTTTGTTTAACTCTTTGGAATATCCCCCAAGAGTGTGAGCATCTTCCTGCTGGGGCCCTGTTGGTTCACAAACCTCCTGCCTTTGAACACTCCACCACCAGCAGGGATTTCTTTCTTTTTTTTAAAAAAATTTTTAGTTGTAGATGGACACAATATCTTTGTTTTATTTATTTTTTTTAATGTGGTGTAAGGATGGAATCCAGTGCCTCATGCATGTGAGGCAAGTGCTCAACCACTGAGCTACAATCCCACTTCCCAGCAGGGGTTTCTTCTTCTTCTTCTTCATATTTGTATTTAGTTGTAGATGGACACAATACCTTTATTTTGTTTATTTGTTTTTATGTGGTGCTGAGGAACGAACCTAGTGCCTCACACGTGTGAGGCAAGCGTTCCATCACGGAGCCACAATTCCAGCCCCCGCATCAG